TCAACCATTATGTGGATAATGTATAATCATTCATACTCTATTCAACCATTATGTGGATAATGTATAGATACTCATTCATACTCTATTCAACCATTATTCAATCATTATTCAACTATTATTCAATCATTACTCAACCATTATTCAATCATTATTCAACCATTATTCAATCATTATTCAACCATTATTCAATCATTATTCAACTATTATTCAATCATTACTCAACCATTATTCAATCATTATTCAACCATTATTCAATCATTATTCAACCATTATTCAATAATTATTCAATAATTATTTAATCATAATTTACCTTATCTCCATGGATTAGAACAACTTTTCGAGGTAATAACATTCTTAGCTGAGCACGGTGTTGTGAATTATTGAAAGCATAATTGAGTAAATAAGTAGGTGAACATTGAAGTAAAGATTCAGGTGTATTTCCTGTTTATATATGTATTTTAAATTGAATTAAGTATAAAAATTGTAAAAAGAAAAGATTTAATCTAAAAGTAAGAGTCAATTTACCCATTACTCGTGGCATAGCGTGCACTTGTTCAAGACCTACGAGGCAAATTTCATTCAAAAACGCATTATTTTTCGATTTTTCGATTGGTCGCAGCACCAACGATTATGATCTAACCGAAAGCACGCGTACCTCGTTGATGTAAATATGCGTAATGATAAGTTGTATCATAAACACCCGAAAATCTAAACGTTATTAAAATTACCAAGTTAATCCAGATTAATACAAATTCGGTAAAAATTGAAAAATAAATAATTACAAGATTAGCCCTTGAATTCTAGGTAACCCAGCCCTTCCATTAGTATTACCACAAACGGGAATTCTCACATCTGTTGTGTTTATGGGAAGTGCGTGCAAAATGGCGCAAGCATCGTGAATCACAGTTAAAGCAGATAAGAGTGCCCCTGCGGAGTGACCCATTAGATAGATCTGTGAAGGATCACCACGGAATTGCCTAAAATAAGTTAATATTAGTTACATCTAGTGATAATATTCTAGATCATTGCGCCAAAGAAAATAAAGTACGTGCTTAATATGACTATATGTCCATTGAATGCATTGTTGAACGTCGGAAACCATTTCAGTAATCTTTCCCTAATAAATATAAGATCAAAACAACAATGAGTATATTTAATAATATTGTTTGACATCAAACAATTTCAAAAAACCTTAATAGATCATATACTTTTGGATAAAGTGTAATGTCAGGGACTACCACAATATAACCCTGGCTTTGTAGATTATGGGCTACCGGCATGCAGGTTGTTTTATTTCCTATAAAGTAAACGAATTATCGATATGGATATCACGTGCCAGCGTAGACAAAATAGTAAATTCACTAGAATTCTTACCGGAAATCCAAGAACTACTAATGAAAATAATTACAGGAGATTCAACAAGAGATGGGCTTGTCATATTTGCATTTTGGGATAATCCAGGGTGATCAAAAAAAACTTGACTATTCCTTGTGGAAGTCCGATCAGGAAAGTATATGTCAAGTCGATTCCTTGAGCTATATTTAATATTTTTCCTGATGATATGAAAAAAATATGTGAATACGAATCAAAAGATATAAAATTTTGATTTTTAGAAAAAAAAAAAAAAAGTAAGTACTTGACAGTTATCTTCTTTCTTTGACTGGATAATTTATGCCAACCATATTGAACAATTGATGGAATAAATGGACCGGTTAAATTTTCATACAAGCAATTAAGCAAGTATGAAAATACTTTGAAAACCCGGTTAGGGCTTAGTGGAACTTTCCACTGCGACGGCGGTGCGTCAGTTTGGGCTAGAATGGAATGTTAATCAACATTAATAAAAATCGATTTATTTTTGATTAACCCTGTTTTTTTTTTTTAAAAAAAAAAAAGTTTTATATACCACAAAAAAGATAGAAGACCCAGCAAGTAATATACGCAACGACTATATGAATAAGATAAGGCCATAAAGATTAGGTATAAAAGTTTTCTTTACATTATTATTTATTTAACAAAGACAGAAAAAATGGTCGAGGACATACAAGCTAGCGGGAAAAATACTCCAACAAGTAGAAGCACAAGTATTGGGAAAAATATCCAAACAAGCAGAAGCACAAGTATTTTTTTTAAAGTTTTCGGTTGCATTTCGGTACTTTATTTATTAGTTTTTTTTTTTTTAATAATAATATAAAGAAAAAAAAAGGAAGATTAAAAAAATTAGAATTTTGCAGCTCAAAAACGAAAAAGATTAAAAGCGACATAAAGAGAAATTGAACAGTTTCAATAGTAATTTATAAAAATGCATAATATTAAATTTACAGTAAAGAATATTAAGGATCACAGACAGGGCTTTGTCGCGTATTTAGTATAAAAAATAAATTCGACGTCATTTTTATACATAATCGCCAATGCACATGTGTAATTTGAATGAAAACTTTATCACAGCATATTTTTTCACGAGGATATTTTTTTCTATTTGTATTACAGAATGTTTGTGGAGTTATTTTCGTGTATGAATATTAAGGGAAGGGCTTAGAGTATCTTTCTTGAACAATGATTTTTCAAAATTGATCGTCTGGAAGTTACACTGTCCATTTTTGCTATTGTACTCCTGCCGTTATGATTTGTTTATGACTTGAAGTGGTACGTAATCCCCTGCCACCATGATTCGTCGTAGTACATGGTCCAAAATTGAGTTCCTGCTAATACGATTCGCCATTGTTGTGTGACCAAAAAAAAAACAATGTAAAAAACCTTTTTACACTCGGATATAAACCTCCAAGACGTAAGCTTATTGTGTAAAATAAAAACGGCTGTTTCTCATATTACAGTATTATGTGTGCTTAAAAGACCAGGTGTGCGTTATCCGATGATCAAAGATCTACTATTGAGATAAGTCAATTTTGGGCTTACCTGTTACGGAATACCTAGGTACGTACATACGTACGTACGTCCGTAAAAACGAAAGATGCAATTATCGTCAGATCTTTAAACCCACAAATGTATATATTAAATATTGATAAGTGATGATGTTGCTAAGATATCTTTTAGAATATTACATGGTTAATTTTTTCGGTCATTTGCAACATAAACATATAAATATTTACGCATCATATGAAATTACAAGACGCGATTCTTGTTATCTTTATTAGTGATTCTTTCTCGGTCGCGTTAAGTGGGCAAAGTTATAAAAATTCCGAAAAGGAATTTACACATACATTGATGGAAACTATATTCATAATATTCCCAATATCGAAGTGTTGGACGCCATCCTGCATAAAAATTTATCTCACTGCATATTGTGCATGATTCACGTGATCCAACACATTGTGTACTGGAAAGCTCGACAAAAAAGGAAAAGATTTATAGAATATTTTGGTTGATAAATTCCGGGTTACAGGTTACGATTATCCGCAGGACTTTTGCGATATTTTATTGTCAATATCACCGCAGCAAATTGTCGGTCCTGCGTATCCGGTGAACAATAGAACAATGGTAAGCTTTGATTTTATTATTATTCGTTCCAAAAATTTACAAATTAAAAAGCACGAATGTTTTTGCCAACGTTTAACCCTCTTGTATTGCTTGTATTGTTTGATATTCATTAATACTGTAATAGATAGATAGATAGATATCTTATCATTCTTAGAATCTTAGAATATTGCAGGTAATTGCAGGTATCATATGCAATTTGGAAAAGCATTTGGACCGTTAATAATATTGGTTTTTCTACACGCAACTTATAAATGTTCATATTTGAATTAAAATTAAAAACAGTATGCTATTTTTTTTTTTTTTCGTTTTGCCTTTTTTTTTTTTTTTGTTTTTTTTTTTTTAGAATCTTAACTTTTCTATGTAATCCGTATACAATTAGAATTAGTAACGGGATTCATGAGAAAGATTCATAAGAAATACTTTTAAATTGTTTGTGCAAATAATATTAATTATTTACCTACCCGACAACAATTGACCAAATAACCAATTAGTCTATATCAGTAATTACATTGTCCCTTTTAAGTAACATTTTTTTTTGTACCAAAGAAGCCATCAGTACTCCCAAATGACCCTAATATATGGTGCTGGTGCGAATTCAAATTGCTTCGCGAAATATTCTTTACATTGATTTTCCAAAAAACTTAAGAAAAATATTTTGATTATTAAAATAAAATATATGAATGTATTCTATGTATTCTATTAAAAATTACCTTGCTAGTTCGTTAAATATTTGTTCTAAACTCTCGGCTTTTTGCTCTTTCATTTGTACTGCATGAACTAGTTCTGGGATTTTAACTTGTTAAAAAAAAATATATATATATCATTTAGTCTGTAAATTAATTCATTTTATAAATACGTGTAAATATGAGTAAAATGATATATAACACACCGACAAGGCGCATCAAATGTTCAGCCCCATAAATAGATGACATTTCTTTTTTTGGATATTTTTCTGTCATTTCGACATATTGTTGACGCTCAAATCGATAAAGTAAATATATTGGAAGTGCTTCATTAAAGTATTGTTTGATACCATTTGTTACATCCCTCGCTGCTATTTCTTGTGTTTTAGTTATACGTCCTCTATTTCTGCCTATAGACGTTTTACTTTGTTCTTTAAGCTTCTCCATTTTAAAATCAAAGAAATCTTCCAAAATATCATTAACCGTCTTGGGTCGTGGCATAGGATAAACAAGCTACATATGTTGATTTACATATGTTGATTTAAAAATGTTTAAACAATCATTGATAATAGAATTATACAAATAAATAAATTGGCTTGTTACTTACGAGTTGATTTTTAGTGTTCCACTGCCATTCGTCAACAAGTCGAAGCATTCCTTCATCTGTAATTTCAACAGAAATCTTGCACTTTTTTGCCCTTTTCTGTATAAATTATGGATTATGATTAATCAATTAAATTAATTAAAATTAAATTAAATTGCATTATGCTTATTCAAAATTTAACGAACCGCATTTTTGCCTGATGTGCTCGCTATTGCTTGCCCTTGATCAACAGTACGTTTTAAGATGCGATTTTTAAAATTAGATGTTTTTGAATTTTGTTCATTTTGTGTGGTTGTATTGGGCAATAGCATCTCATCAATCGATTCAATTTGCACAAAAACTGATGATGATGAATTATTCGGAGGTGCTGTTTGAATTTGCTTTATTTTTGTTGTGGCCGCAATGTTTTCTTCTGTCATCTTAAGAATTCTTGATTCAGAAACCCATTCATCCCACCTATCAATATCCATCATTATTAATGTAATTTCCCGTTTCATATACTACTTTACATGACAAACCATCTTGTCCATTTTTGCTTACTTTTTATTCCATCCTTTGTAATGTATTCGATATTGTGGCCCTACATCACCTCCCTCGTTTTCGTAGATAATTCTTAAATCCAAAATCTGTTGAAAACACATATAATTAGATCTAAGTATTGAAAAGACACTTTTTAAAAACCGAGTTATGTAAAATATTCAATACTTTATTTACTCAAAGCCACTACAAGGCTTGCTTGTTTGGCGATTCTTTTTATTATGCAAATGTAACATTTATCGAAGTTTTATGCTCGGAACAGCGAGAATTACCTGTGCAGGGTACGTAATGGGCCCATGGTAGCAAAGTACATTCTCACCTCTCTGATATTGAAATACATCTAGGGAAGAATCGGCTACGCTTGAGATGGCTAAAATCGGTTTTTTGCTTTTAGCCATTGTTGCAGATTAAAGTTTTTATTTCTTGGGAAATGTATTAAATTTCTTATGAAAAAAACCATCTATCATATCACTAGTTTGACCAATAGTATTATTAGATATTTCGTACTACAATAGGTAACAGCCAAATCATATACGTACGTACGTACGGTACATACGTAATAATGAGCTGCTCTTCAGCAACAATTCTTTATTCGTCAAACAATTTGCTAAAAAAAAAAAAAAAACCATAATGCCATACGTACAAAACTAATGTGATTGCTAATGTTAACTAACACTAAAGTTTTGAATATAAAATTTAAAAACTTTTTTAGGATATATTTGATATCTGATATATAGTTTTGTTTACGTGCGTACGTGCGTACGTGCGTACGTACGCACGTACATACGTAATATCTACGTAGTACGATTTTCAAAACCGAATTGATATTTTTTTAAGTCTAGGTTTGTATTCAGAAGATAACGATAAAAAATTTAAGGTTTGGTAATTCATCTGACGATTTACCAAATAGAAATGCATTCTAGAATAATCTTTATACAGGTCCTTGGATCTTTTGATTGAGATCCTTAGATCGCACCTAACGTTATAAAAAGGGAAATATAACGACACAATCTTCCCTTGCGTCACCATCAAAATTACCCTGTCACGTGATATTGAAATGGCGCACAAAATCCTTGAAGTTCTT